GGGCGCGCGCTGGTCGCCAGGGCGGCCGCCCGGGTCTTGGCAGCTGGATCCCGCGCGCCCGCCTCTGCGCGGGGGACCCTCGCCGGTGAAGCCCCAGCCCGGTACGGCCCCCTCAGTCCCCTCTCTGTGACACAGACGTGGGTGGGACCCGGGTCCGCGGGCTCCGTGGGGAGAGGCGAGCGGTCCCGCCCGGGCTGTGAGTTCGCTCTCCCTAAGGAGGGCCTCGGGAAAGCCTTGGGTCGGAGCTTGGTTGCGGGTGCTCAGCGGAAAACCAATGTAGCCTTTTCTTGCTAAGTGGGGAGTCAGGCAGCTTTTCACTCCTGAGTTGCTGCCTCTCTAGCAAGTTGGCAAAATTTGCTGCACAGTCAACTTGCAGAGGGCAAGGCTTATGGTCGTCAGCAGTTATGTGTCCTAATATATATTATTGTTTTTTCATCAAACGTGTTATTCTCTGTGTGCTCACTCCACGTTCCTTTTGCCTCCAAATATTCACAATATGGACTAAACCCAAGCACAGAAAATCCAGTAGAGCTATCTGTTCTGGCCTTTGGTTCTGTTTAACAACAGCGAATTAAAGTTCATTAAGTAGTGAGAAGAGATTTAAAATTTAGATCTAAGTGTTAATGGAATGGCAATTGCTCCATTCCCTCCACCACCACCACCACCACCACCACCACCTGGATGGGTTTCAGGGATTTGGGAGGTCTTAAACTTATGTGCAAAATTTTGTGGGTATATGTGTTTCTTTTTTTTCTTTTTTTAAAAAAAATGTATCTTTAGAGAGAGGAATGGAGAGGGAGAGAGAAAAATAGAAACATCAATGATGAGAGAGTAATTGATAGGCTGCCTCCTGCACACACCCTACTGGGGGTGGAGCCCCACAAATGCAAACCTGTCATGTTCCCTGATGGGAATCTCTTGGATCATAGGTCAGTGATCAGTGGCTGAGCAACACCAGCTGGGCTATGAGTTCTCTTGAGTAAGTCCCTTAGGCTTCATCATATGGGGTTAAATCTCAAACAAGATTTAAAACAATAACACAACAGTGTCAGGAGAAATCATTGTAGAGATCAAGCCCCGAGCTTCTACTTGGTGTTGAATTATTGTGCCAACTCCTATTTATCCAGTATTTAGAAATGTTGTATTTTGACAACAGTCTACATTGATCACCAAATTTCATGTTACAAAAAATACAGTGAAAAGTCATATGAAATGTAATTTTCCTTCAAAGATTCCGTGTTTTCCGTGTCTCAGGTTCAAGAGCACCAACTGTTTTTGGATTCCAGGACAGTCCCTCACTTTTTTGAAGGCCCACAATATTCTTATAGAGCTACAGCAATGGGAGTCAGGTTAGGAAACCTGGATCAGAGATCCCATGGTTCCCAAGACCCAGAGTATTCATTAACCAGGGCATGTAGGTCAGTACCAGCAGTAGGTAAAGAGCTTATTGAAGGTTGCTTTTCTAACTCCAAATATCTTAATCCACCTGGTTTGGGAGTAGGTTATGTGTTGTTTTTGTTTATTATATGCCTGAAATTCTAATGAGAGATACAAATGAAATTCTAATGAGAGACACATATTCCAGGAGTGTGATAGCCCTCTCTTCAGTATAAATTCTTCAAATGAGAATCTATTTAAAGAAAGGGGATATATGTTTTCAAGAAAAGTTGAGGGAAGAGCATAGATTTTTTTTTTTTAGTACAGTAAACTTTGTTGGGAAGTTCTGCATTCCAATTTATTTTAACTATTTTGTATAACTGGGTACCTAAAGAGAGTGATGGGAGGACAACAAACTCCAGGGTGATTTTAAGATACATTCAAAGTTCTGTGATATGCTTCCCATCAAAGAGGTGGAGCCTACTTTCCCCTCCCACTGAGCGAGGACTGCTCTTAATGAATAACTTATGGGCCATAATGAATAGGAGGATCTGGCAGGAGTGACAGTGTATGACTTACAAGATTAGGTCATAAAAGGCATTGCAGCTGCCGCCTTGTTCTCACTCTAGGATCACTTGTACTGGGGGAAGCCATAGCTACCACATCATCAGGAACTCAGGCAGCCCCATGGAAAGGTCCATGTGCTGAAGAACTGAGGCCTCTTCCCAACAGCCATGTGGAAGTGGATCTCCCTAGTTAAGTCTTCATATGGCTGCAGTCTGAGTGATGTTAACTGAAACCTCACCCTGAGCAGATCCTGAGCATAACTACCCAGGTAAGCCACTCCCAGATGACCCACAGAGACTGTGAGATAATAAATGTGTGTTGTTTTAATATGGTAAGTTTTGGGGGTAATTTGTTACATAGCAGTAGATAACTAATATACTCTATATCAACTTTCCTTTGTACCAGGAAAGATATTTTTCTTACTCTTTAATCACATGGACTTTTGTTCCTAGGCTTGCCCTTGGGTTAGTGGCATTTAAAAAAAAAAAAAAAATCTTTATTGATTTTAGAGAGAGGAATGGCGAGGGGGAGAGAGAGAAACATCAATGATGAGAGAGTCATTGATTGTCTGCCTCCTGCATGCCCCAGATTGGAGATCAAGCCTGCAACTCTGGCATATGCCCTGACTGGCAATCGAACTGTGATCTCCTGGCTCCTAGGTTGATGCTCAACCACTGAGCCAGGCCATGCTGGTCATGATTTTTTATCATTGAGCTTTAAAATGGGCTAAATAGACTTCTGCGAATAGTCTTAGAATGTAACCAGTATTTGCAACCTTATTTCTATCTACTCAAAGTTTATAACAATAAACAAATGAACTTTTGAAATATAACTTCATAATCTGGGTACTGCCTGTAGTTCTGCTAGCTATTGCTCAGCATTTTAAAAATAAGTGACTTCATATTTCTTTCAAGTATGAAGAGCTTTTTTGCATGGGCAAGTGAAAAAAGTTGCCACCCATTTAGCCCATCTCTTAACCATGTAATCCATAATACACTGATTGTTTAGGTGATAGCAGAGGCCTGTGACACATACCTCAGGACAATTAACTGTAATAAATGCAAAATATCCTGTGTCAAAACCTATTTTCTGGCCCAGATATCTCTTGGAACAAATGACAGTGCTAAAAATTATACTACAGTTAACATTTACTTAAGGCTTGTTTATGTGCCAGGCACTAGGCATGGGCCTGGACTTACATTAGCTCATTTAATCCATACAGCCTCACTATGAGGAAGAACTGATTCAAAACATGGGTCTTAGAATCTGACTACTTGTGTTTGAATCCTGGCTCCATCATTTACAGTCATATGATCTCTGGCAGACTGTTTAGCCTCTTTGTGCTTCAATTTTCTTACCTATTAAATGGTGACAATAGCACCTGCTTCACAGGGCCGTGGTTAGGATTAAAGGAGATAATGTATGTAAAGCATACATAGTTCTTAGTAAATAGTATGGACTCAATCAAAGCCAGCTATTACTATTTTTTAAGTAGATGAAGACACAGAGTCTCAGGGAAGTTGGCTAGTGTTGTGCAGCAAGCAAACAGCAGGAACTCAGTTCCAGATCAGTTTGGTTCCAGAGCTCAGGCTCTTAACCATAACTCTATAACCTCCATATTGATTTCCGTAGTGGCTGCAACAATCTGCATTCCCACCAACAGTGCCTGAGAATTCCACACCCTCACCACCATTTGTTGTTTGTTGATTTATTGATGGCAGCCATTCTGACAGGTGTGGGATGATATCTCATTGTGGTTTTAATTTGCATTTCTGTGATGATTAGTAACATGGAGCATCTTTTCATATGTCTATTGGAGATCTGTATGTTTTCTTTGGAGAATTGTCTATTTAGGTCTTCTGCCCATTTTTTAATTGGATTGTTACGCTTTTTGGTGTTGAGCTGTATGAGTTCTTTATAAATTTTGGACATTAACCTCTTATTGGATGTATCATTGGCTAATATCTATTCTTCCACTCAGTAGGTTGTCTTTTCATTTTGTTGATGATTTTCTTTGCTGTGCAAAACCTTTTTAGTTTGATATAGTCCCATTTATTTTTTTCCTTTTGTTTCCCTTGCCCAAGGAGATATATCAGAAAAGTTAACGCTGAGAGAAATGTCAGAGATTTTACTGCCAATGTTTTCTTCTAGAAGAATTAAATCTTTTTTTAAAAAAAATTATCTTTATTGTTGAAAGTATTAAAATTTTCCCCTTTTTCCCC